GTGAACAACTATTTTCTTATTTAGTAAACAAACTATAAAACAAATTGTCAGCCTCTATTTCTCCAAACATTATCTGTTTTTTATCATCAGGTTTGTTCAATTTTCTTCTTTTATTCTTTTTTTGAATTGCTAATTCCTCGTCTGATATAGAAATTTTTTTGTTATTTGAAAGGCAAAGTTTCACTTCTTTGGTTTTGAGGTTCATGTTTGTATGACATTTAAGATCATACTTATTAAACAGTCCCTCAACCTGTTGTTGGTGAATAATGATATAATAAATTCAGTAAAGGAAAAGAATAAATTGGTAATTCGTCAGAATTAGAAAAACTTATTAATTCATGTAAAAATGATGGATCTTCAATTGCCTGTAATAACCCAAAATCGTTAGAATTTGATCGTTTAATATCAGATTCCAAAAGAGTTGTAAAACACAACTCTTTAAGACTAGAAATTTGATTTTGTTATTTTTTTAACCTCACATTCAAATAACTTCTAGCAAACTTATGACCATATTTGCCACCTAATCGACAAACGCTTAATGGAAGGTAAAGCCACATATCTATCCAAGTTTCCAAAGAATTTTTAGCTTATTAATACCAAGTTCTAAACTATTAAAAAAACATTCAAAATCATTATCGTCTAAGATATCAATAGCATTCCATAACTCTGTATTAAAGAATGAACAGATATTATTACTAATCCTATTTAAAGTTCCTATCTATTTAATAACTGCATTAGGCATTTCATGAGCCCAACGATCAGGTAAAAGTGGCAAAGTTGATCATCTGATTTAAGAACTCATGGTTCATTATCAAATCCAGTAAGAAAATTCATAATAGGTTTATATATTTGTTCGCCAAACTTAACGAGACACTCTATTTGTATTTTTAAAACTGGATCAGCGAGCCATTGTTGAAGGAGCTCCCACTTTTCAAGATATTTTTTTAGTATTTTTTTTTGTAATTTTAGTTTATTTAGAAACCAAAAAGTAAATTTTTCTAAATACTCTCTTCTTTCTACTAGTTGTTTTGCTGCTTGCAATTTGTATAACCACTATTGCTATAAAGGTTTTTAAAATTGAGATAATTGAATTCCAAATAATTTAGCATATAAATTAAATATATAAGTCGATTTCATATTCATTGGATTGTCTTTATTACTTTCACTATACCCATTATGCAATTGCCAAATAAGGTACAGTAAATTAAAAGGATGTTTTTGAGTTAAAAATCCTTTTTCGACTTTGAGCTTTCCAAATGTGGCATTTTCAAAGTTTGTCATCATTATATGTGCCAAATGAAGCCCACAAGAATTTTTAAATGAATTTGAATTAATTTCCTTATTAAATAAAGCTACTGTACCATTTTTATAACCTGATATATATGCCATATTGTCTGTTGTCCAAGTTAAATATTTAATTGGGTCTAGTTGATATTTCTTACATGATTTAATAACAGTATGTGCAATTAATGTCCCAGTACATTGAGTTAAATCTTGAAGTTCCAATAAAGTAACTTTTGGCTCATTACTAACTAGATCCCAATACATAAAACATATAACAAAAACTTTACTATTGCCATGTGTTGACTCGTTCACCATGGTTCCAAAAGTAAACCATTTAGAAAGTTTAGCAATATCATATTGTTGAATAATATGAATATTCGATAATCTTGATGCCATCCAACAAGTGTACTAATGGAAAACCACTTATTTGGTTCTTTATCTATTAACTATTCGATTACCTTTTTCGTACAAGTTGTAGTGGATCGATAAGACATTTCTCCAATTTCACAAATTTGTATAGCCATGGAGACGGTTTTAGCACTAAATTGTTTTTTATTTAATATAAGCTGATCTTGAATTGCTAATTTTAATTTCTTATCAGTTATATTAGGTGCTTTGCGAGCTATAGAATGAACCTTAGAGATGTGTTGTTTGTATATTTGTTTAGACTTTCCAATTTTACTATGTAAAACTTTTTTTGTTTTTTGTAGACGATTAATTTTTTGAATATATTTTTTTTTGTATTTAATATGACTTCTATTCAAACAACAAACAAAATTATATGTCTTCTACTGCAAATATTTTGAAAAAATCTTGCCAGCTTTAGGGCCGTTCCTATGTTTCATAAGATTTATTAATGATACTACAAGATTTAATTCACTATCATCCATATTTTTAACTATATTTAATAAATTACTTCACGTTTTTAAATATTGCAGTTGAGTATATTGCTCTTGAGCAAGTTTCTTAATTATAGTTATAAATATGGCAAGTATTGGATCTGGCAAATCGATTGCATATTCTATGAGGTCATCAATTTTTTGTTGTTGAATATCTATTTCTGTATGTGTCCTTGCTGGTATAGTCGATGAAATACTGTTATCGCTATCTATACTATTTTCAACAGTATTTTTAGCTTGGACCTTATTTTTTAAAAATTGATGTTGGTTGCGTGTATATTTTAGATGGTGTCATTGTTTAGATTTTGTTTAAAATCACGGCATTTTGATAAATAAAATCAAATATTTTTTTAATCTACGTTACAATAGTACAAATTTTGCGCGAAGTATACAAATTTTTTATACCATATTTTTTTTTAAATTATAGCTTCTATTTCATTCTTTTCGATAATAACCTTTGTTTTACAGATTTTAATATCTTTTATGTTTTATTAAATTAAGTAAAGTTCGCTTACATTGTTAAAGAAATTAACCACTCATAAATGAAAAAAATCGAAAAAAATGACGTTATTACAATATTTAATACTAATAATTATATCTTCTACAAAAAACTTAATTGCAATTGTTATGTTAGTTCGCGAGAAACTGTACCGAAAGTTACTATTATCCGCAGTAAATTCGGATTTTCATAAAAAAATTTTCGCATAAATGATTTTCATATGTACCCTAACTAATATTTGATTTTATTAGTTTGATGATCACCCTAATGTCTCATGCCTGCTATACGCAACTAATTAAAGTTACGCAGCTAATTAGAGTTACGAAGCTAATTAAAGTTACGATGCAATGGGATCGTTCGGTTTTTGACGTAGCCGTTGGAGTGTCCAGAATTCTGCGATGCATAAACTTGCTAACTCTAAAAATTTTTTTGCCTATTGTCTCCGCAAGATAAATCGTTTTTTAAAATCAAACCAATGTAAAAAAGTATTTTTAGCATGAGCAGATTTATGCACCACACTCTAGTAAACGTAACCGTAACTGGCCGAATGTCGTAAAATTCATTGGGACGATTCTACCACATCACTAACGTGTATACAAAATAAGATTTTAAAAAATTTATATGTACATTATTATATTGGAGTTTATTACGCAAAATTATTAGTCATGCTATATAAGTACTATTTATTCCCGGTTTATTTATTTTTTATGGGAATTTACGTGTTATTTTGGCAATGACTTAAGTTTAACTCTGTAAAAGAATACGTAGCATCCGGCCATAATTAGCAAATGGGAGAATAACTTATTCAATCCGGGGAAATACTGTAATTTTGTTATCCAGATCTTAGATTAGTGATACGTATTAGAGTTACTAATTAAAAAGTAAAAGTTGCTGGCTAAAAAAAGCGGAAGATTGCGAGTGTAACAAAGCTAAATTTGAAAAGTATGTAAGTATAATAAAACCGGAAAATAAATCAATTATCCGTGAAGTGGGCGTTAACCAAAAATCAGTTGTTCGGGTAATGACGGGAATAACGTACGTACCTAGTATCACGTAAGTACATAATTTAACAGATATACGCACTTATTTGTTATGTCGCTTTTCTATCTACTATGTACGTACTTATGTACGTACTTACATACGTACGTACGTGCGTAAATTACCTGTTACATAACAACGACAATATTATATCAGATATGATATGTTGTATTGCTGAATACACGTGTTTCAATACGTACATATACTATCATAACTCTTCGTCGGAGGTTAATTTTTAATTTTTTATCTTCAGGTTTGGTTTGTAGCACTCATTTTAATGCTTAACATTGTCCTTCCGTTGAGCCCCCTACCGGGATTATTATCGTTATCGTTAAAAATACATAAACATAATATATAATCAAATATAGTATAATTCATCTCAGTATCATGTGTCATCAATATATTATGTAGCATGTGATACGTAATCACAAATTATTTAATAGTTGGTATTTATAGTTTTGGAGGCACATGATTGTATAAGATTGTATTCGAAAGCACGAAAGTTTAAAATAAGTTTCAAAATTTAACGTTATTGTTTCGATGTCGTAATAATTATCATTTAGTAATGCTTAAATTACAATAATTGTACGTATACGTATCGATATCGATTAACTATATTTAGTTATACTGATTTTGCAAAATTAATTTACCTTTTATTCTTTTTTAATAATTGATCATCTACAAAAATATATTTCATTTTAAATTTATTAATAAAAAACCTATATTTTTTTTTATGAACTTGTATATTTATAGTTAAAGAATTTTAAATCCGAAGGTGGACTTATGATATTCAGATCAACTACTTACATATTTTTGCATGACATTTTAAAGGGTCCTCACATAAATGGCATTCAAATCTGTACAAATACGTCTACATGCGGTATATTTTTATTCAGATAATCTAATAATAATTATGTAGTTTTTCATATCACTTTTAAAAATTTTTTTTTTATTCTCTGTGTCCCTTATTGGTTGATTCCTAAATCAGTTTTCATATTACTAACCAATTCTGTTACCATTTTTTTTCTATATATTTAATTCGATTTTAACTAAGCTACATATTTAATTTTTTAGACCGTTTAAACCTCTTTTTTTTCAATGTGAAAAGCCTTAGATTATAAAATTAAAAAAAAATAAAATTTAAATATATAGATAGAAAAAAATATCTAATTTTTGATAGAATAATTATTAATTTTATCTTTTATTTTATGATAAAATTATGGGTATAAAATGTAGTAAACCAGAACATCTTGATGATGATCCGAAAGATCCGCAACCACAGGTATCAGACCTTGGTATTTGTAGAGATTGTCAAAATCCGAATACAGATATTTATAAAACATTTGGATGGTGTCAATTATGTAATTCTAAAAGATTTAAAAATGAGTTTATAAAATGGACAAGTTGTAATGAAGCTGTTGATAATTTTATTCAAGAAACTCAATTAAATGCTAATAGTTACCGTAAAGTTTTGGAATGGATCCCATATGATGCAATTGTTGATGTTGAATATGTTGGAAGAGGCTGTTATGGAACTGTATTTTCTGCAACTTGGGTAAATGGAAACATTTTGTATTGGGATAAAAGAAGGAAAAGGTGGGCTAGGAATTCTCGTATGACTGTAACTGTAAAAAGCATCGACAATTCTGCTAACATTACGTCGGAATTCTTTCACGAGGTATGCACATATATTTTATATTTTATATTTTATATTCTACATTATTGTATATTCCATATTCCATTGTATATTCATATTCTATATTTAAATATTGTATTTATTTATTTATTTTTGTTTAGATACGTGCTTACCTTCAATGCAACTATGATCCTCGAGGAATGATTCGATATTATGGTATTACTCGAGATCCTCAAACAAATGACTATATGGTCGTCAGTGAATTTGCAAATGGAAATTTACAAACTTATCTTAGACGGAATTATCATTTACTAAATTGGGAAAAGCGTTTAGACCTTTTACTTAAAATTGCAACGGCTCTTCAAGATATTCATTCAACAGAATTCGTTCATAGAAATTTACATAGTGGTAACATATTGCAAGTTGGTAACTGTATTAAAATTAGTGATCTTGGATTAAGTCATTATGTAAAATATAATGATGGTATTTATGGTGTCTTACCGTATGTTGCTCCTGAAATTTTACATGGTGAACCACACACTAAGGCTTCAGATGTATACAGTTTAGCAATAGTGATGTGTGAAGTTGCCACAGGAATTGCCCCATTTAGTAATAAACCTCACGATTATAATCTTGCTGTTGGTATATGTGATGGAATTCGTCCACCGTTTATTGAAGGAACTCCAAAATCTTTTACAACTCTCGTTGAAAGATGTTGGGATTCTGATCCAATGAATCGCCCCAATGCTAAACAAATAACTGAAATGTTATTTCGTTGGCATTTTAGTTTGGAACAAGGGAGATCGACGGATGTATGCAATTCTTTTCGTAATTATGACATTAATGTGAATCCACGGCAGCAACATCTTGATAGATTAAATTGGAGATTTCATCCACAAGCTTGTTATACGAGTAGACTGCTTAATTTTGTTAATCTTCCTGAACCTACGAATTTTTTTACTCGATATCGGTATGATTCTGCATTTGGAAGTGTTACTCGAGGTAATTATTATTATTCTTAAAAAAAACGGTTCTACCTATTTTTAACAATTTTTTTTTTTTGTACACTCTATAGAAAGTCTCAATAAAACAAATTCTTATATTGACGAAAAATTCGAAGGTAGATGAAATTCTAATTTATTGATGTATGTTAATCGGTCCTAGGCAGTCTTTGAGAATTGCCCGATATTTCAAGTTTTTCTTTCATAAGCTACTAATATAAATTATTTGTAATGATTCATTTACAAGATTTACTTAATGGAAAACATGGTAATCTTTTTACTTCAATTCAATAAAATAGATGACATACATTGGATGATTACTATTAAAGTACCTATTCCATTCAGATACCCATCATTCCCCTTATTTCCATTAATTGAACTATTATGTTAGTAGCTTATAAATAAAAAAAGTCTTCAATACCAATTAGGTCCGATTAACATCTTTCATGATATTTATTGCCTTAATAACCCTTTTTAAATTATTCTTAAAAAGACACATATAGCCCTTCAAGTTCTCAAGTTGATCTTGAACAATTAAGAACTCCCTCAATGGCACTATCAGATCCTATATATACATCACTCTTGCGTAAACACTTTCGAGCAGATAAGATATTTTTTAGTGAATCAGAAATCAGTTCAGGTTTGTATATTCATTATGATTCACTATATTTTTCATGTGGTTAACAGAAATTCATGTTTCGCGTAATTCATATTTTCGTGTAAATTAACACAATATTAATTAATGTTTCGTGTAATTAATGCGAAATTCATTTTCCAGTGGTTAATACCTAATCCATTTTTTAATGCAAAATTAACACGAAATTTATGTTTTATGCAATTATTTAATTAACACAAAATTTATATTTTTGTCATGTAATTAACATAAAATTTTACATTTTTCGTGTAATTAACACTCACAAAACTGACAATATTACAGACAATGAAAGTTCTTATTCACAAGAAATTACGGATGTAGCGTCAACGAGGTACTCCAGAGCAATATCCACCGAACTTGAACGTCGAGCAACACCTGAAGTAGGAGGTAAAACATCGCGATACTCGTTAGCATTAGTGGCTGAACTTCAACGATGTACTACGTCAGAAAGTTGGAACAGGCAACAACGGAAAGAAAAAAATTATATACCGACTATGGGAACAACATTTAATAATACAAGGAATATGTCATCGAATAATAAAAGACAGAATAATCTTAGAAAAAACATGTATCATAGATATGATCATAATGTATCTGATAAAGCACGAAAAGAAATGGTACAAACTTATTATTCTTCGCGTAAATATTCAACGAAATCACCACCACCACAACTTTCGGATCAACATTTGGTTCAAGATGATTATGACACATATCAGGATTCTGAAAAAGAAAATGAAGAAAGTAAAGGAAATGTCGAAGAAATTAAAAATATAGTAGATCTGGAAAATATAGATGTGTTACAATTTGTTAGAAGACAACCTACTGTTCAACGAGGTTTTTTTTTTTTTTCTTTTGGAAACGTATACAATATTTTTTAAAAAAAAAATTGAATTTGATATCTAAATTTAAAATAATTTTTTTTTAGCAGCAAGAAGAGAAAAAACCACATCTATATTCGTATCAAAGTTTGATCATAGAACAACCTCTACAGACTCAACACCAATTCCACCGATTCGTGTATAAATTATTAAAATGGAATGGTTAGATTATTGAAAGTAGATATTGTTAAGTGTTAAAAACTGATGTGTTACTCAAAATATAATTGTTTTTAATAATTTTATGTAAATAAGCAAAAAATTAAGGGTTTTATAATTTACTTTATAATTAATAAAAATAAATTTTCAGACAAGGGACATTTCCTTTTAGTTGCCGCTCTTATGGATAAAATGAGTTGACACACCCAAATTTTTATATGTAAATTTGTAATAAAAAACACTTTTTTAAAAAAAAAAAAGTGAGGTCTGTCCTCTTTTCTTTTATTAGTTAAAATATATTTATTAAATTAAGATACAAAGTGATAAGATATTTTATCTAAGCTATGAAGAGAGAGGCTAAGGCTAATTTACCTCCGACCTAAGCTTTGCCAAGGAAGGTCGCAAACCTCTTAGTCTGTGTGCGATGTAGTTAGGGGATGTATTATAGTGGATGAAGGAGTCTAGCCAAAGATTGTATTTAAGAGAGTAGCTATGTGTGTTGTTTATAGTGTGTATGTGGGTTTGTGTAAGGGTGCAAGGGAGGTATGCTACTTTTATTGGTATTATTTCTACTAGTTTTTCATATTTTTTTTTATATATGTTTTAGATAATACGATAGTGTAAAAGAGGCATCATTGGTGGCTCCTGTTTGTATCGGAGGTAGAAAGTAGTTTGTGAGGTAATTATAGCCAGAGGCAGACTATTGTCTTGGACAAGATAGGTCTTTTTTGAATTTTCTCAGGTAGTAAGTTATATTGATTTCTGGTATGTTTTTGTTGCTTGCTATTTGGGCGATGTTGTTAGTAACAATCTCCTCAATGGGTATAGACGGGTAAGGAAGTAAGTGGTTGTCTTAATCGTATTTAAATATCTGTGCGGTATTTAATAAATAATATTTATATGCCTCATTTTTTTTTTAATAAAGACTAAGTATATTACTATTTGTCATTTTTAACCAATTAAAGTAATAAAATATTTACTATTCTTGCAAGATAAATCATCACTATTGTTTCGCTTTAACTGTAATTAGTAAGATTGATATTATAATTCTTACTATGTATAAATACTATAAATTCATATAATTAAATTAAGAAATGCTAGATTATAAACTTTTTTATTAATAAAGTAAACCTAAATACTTTATAGAAATATTATATGCTTTACAAAAAAATATTAGATAATTTATAATATTATATACTTACTACCATATTTCTCTAAAAATAAGTACCTCTTTTTTGTTAAAATAAAAAATATTTTTACAGAAAACAATTTTTTGTTTACTCTTGTTTATTGTAATAATTACCTAACTATCTTCTGTGATTTTTTTTATTATGACAATTATTTGATTATTACCTGTTATTTCTTATAATCAAGTTCTTATATAAACTTGTTAGAAATAAATTATTGTTTAAACCTTGTATATAAATATATACATTAACAAGAAAAAAAAAACAACCAAAAAATTTATAATTAAACCTTAATTTTGAACTTAATGAAAAAAAAGAAATAGTTTGTAGAATGACAAGTACTGATTTTTAAATTTTTTTTAAAAAAAAATAAAAAATAAAAAAAATACAATTGTTTAATACTATAAATATGGCTAATCTACTTAAAAACCAAACTAAAAAAATATTTCTAATTAGGTTTTTTTTTTTTTTTTTTTTTAAATATAATATTATAGTAAAAACTTTATTACAATAAATCTAAGTTAATCTGAAAATTAATAGTTTTCTTGTTATCAGAAAAACTTGAGTAAAAGAATAAATAAGTTATTTTACCAGACTACCAAATTCTTTCAACTCAGAACTAGCTAATAATAAAAAGATATAGTTTTAAAAAATTTTTTATAGTTCTTATGCAACTGCTCTAATATTTTCTTTTATTAGTATTCTTGTTTTGATAATACCTTTTTAATCCAAACTATTAATATCTTAATATACAACATTATTTCTAATACCAATCCTAACCTTCTAACATCTTAACTAAATAATTTAATATATACTATTACCTCACACCCCTCTTTTAACTTCTCTTTATTATAGCTATACCCCTACTCCCTATAATCTGCACTTAAAGGTCTTATACCTATTGCTCTAGTCCAATTATTAGATCCCTTTAAAATTTTTTACTCACAAGCTTCCCAACTTATTATCAAAATACTTTTAAAAATCTCTGATCAACTCTATAATAATATTTGAATCCTCTACTACTACTTTTCTTATTAAAAAAGAGTTTATCAAATTCTATTATAAATTAATACTATATTTTATATTTCTCTACCCTTTAGAAATCACAAAAATAGAATTAATTATACTTATAATTACTTCTGTAGCTTTGCCAACTATCTATATTCTAACTCTAATATATACTTTTTACTAAAACAAGCTTTTCTTAAATACAATATTTAATCTACTATATGAATCTAATATAGTATACTGTATCTATTAACTATATTTTAATTATCTAAATTTAGATGAGTCTTGACTACTCTAGTAGTATCTCTTAATTAGTAAAGATTTGCAGACAAATTTGGCTGCATAATTACTATAAATATGCCTCTGATTTACTTTTTTAATTATTTAAAATATTTAAATAAAATTTAATATGATAATATTTGAAAATAAGGATTATATTTTTGTAG